CCCGGTCCTGTTTCACGTTAATAAATCCCCGTTTTTACCCGACTTCCTGGCTCTTCTCCCCTGCTTCCCTGCACGCCTTCTTGCCGATCGTGACAGAATGACAAATCTCCATAATAAGCTCAGCGCTACTGGGGAGGTTCTCCCCATGGAAGAGGAGGTCATCCGGTGGACGAACCTGCTCGATCTCCAGGAGGATCCAGTAGCCCACCGGCTGATTGACAGGTGTTGGGAACTCCTGGACAGGAGGTTCCGCACCAGTGAGGAGCAGCAGCTAGTAGATGTGGGTGTAAACCTACGGCTGTTGAAGGAGAGAGCGGCAGTTTGGCTGCCCCACCTGGGGTATGCTGCCTGGGAACCGCACCCCGACTCACCACCTGCCTCCATCCCGGTCTAGAGCAAGACGGCAAAGGCTGCAGCCTTAGACGCCCAGCGAAAGACGACTCTTCCAAAGCGCAAGACTGAGCTTAACGCGGCTTCTGCCGCTCAACCCCCCAGCTCTGGAGAACTGCCTGGGCAACGCACCCAGGGCAAGGACCTGCCCTGGGTCCTAGAGAGCCCTGCTCTTCCTAAGAGGAAGAGGCGAAGGGTAAAAAAGAGAGCCGCCCCGACGCTCTTCCTGGAGGCGTGCTCGCTTCTCCCTGCCTGGGAAGATGCCGCTGATGCCGGTAAGCCTCATGTTGAGGAAAAGCCACCTCCGTTAGAGGCGTACTGCTACCGGCCAGCATGCCTGAACCACGGAGGGATACGTGCCGTGAGAGACGGCATTCCGCGGGTCCCTAAAGCCCTTAAAGGGGCAGTCCCTGGCTTACCGGCTCCAGACTCGCCTGCTCCGGACCTGCCGGCAACGCCTGCTGCTGCTGCCGCCGCACTGCCCGTGGCACCGCCTGTCCTGCCTGCGGTCCCTGCAGCTGACGCCACTCTGCTCACGGCACCACCTACTGCTGCTGGCTCCACTATGCCCGCAGCTCCGCCTGCTGCAGCTGCTGTCGCTGCTCTACCCGAGGTGCCTGCTGCGGTGCCCCCTGCTGGCCGCACACCCGAGGTGCCCCCTGCTGGCCACGTGACGGCGGCGTCCGCCAAGGCGCCCCCTGCTGGTCACGTGTCGGCGGCGCCCACCGAGGCGCCCCCTACTGGCCGCGCGCCGAGGCGCCCCCTGCTGGCCGCGCGCCCGAGGTGCCTGCCGAGGCGCCCCCTGCTGGCCACGCGCCCAAGGTGCCCGCCGAGGCGGCACACGCCCACGGCCCTGCCTGAGGCCGGCTCTCCTGTCCTGCCCGTCCAGCCCAGCTCTCCTGTCCTGCCCATCCAGCCCGGCTCTTCTGTCCAGCCCAGCTCTTCTGTCCTGCCCGTCCAGCCCGGCTCGCCCGTCCTGACTGCCTCTCCAGTGGCACTGCCTGCGGCCACGCCCGCGGCACCAGTGGCACCGCCTGTTGCCTCTTTGGAGGCCCTGACTCCAGCCCCCCCAGCTCAGGTCCTAGTCCCTGAGGAGGTCCCGGACAGCCTGACTGCCACTCCCACCTCCATAGAGGAGGAGCTCGAATGGGACCCCTCAGGGACCTTCCTGATGACTTCTCCTCCCTCGCCTCGACGAGGGCGACCCCACCTAGGACTCCGCCTATCTGTGTCCCACAAGGGGAGAGGACATAGACGTTGGGCCGGGGTCCTGCCCGCCCTGCCTCCTGGCTCGCCCTCGCTCGCTTTGGCGGGGGCTCGGGGCGCGCCTGCAGTTATTCCTGCTCTGGGCCGGCGGTTGCCTGCGGGTCCCCCTCCGCGGCCTCATCCCCCGGCCTCGGTCCCGCCTCCGACTCTGGTCGCCTGCGGGTCCCCCTGCGCCAGCGTGTCAGCGGATGGCGCCTCCGCCTGCTGTGGCAGCGCCTTCGCTGGCTGCAGCTTCCCCCTTCTCCTTCCCTTTGCCGTTGGCCCTCTGACTCCCTTCTTGTCTCCTTCGTCTGTCCCTCGCCCTGTCTCCTTGTTCCCTTCGTGGTCCCCTCCTGCTCCCTCCTTCCTGTTGCCTGCGGCCCCTCCGGCCGCCGCCCGTCTGGGCTCCCTTGGGCTCCCTTTTTTCCCCCGTCCGTTCCTGTCTGGTCTCCCCTGTCTGCTCCTCCTCCCTTCGTCCCGCCTGTTTCTGCTCCTCGTCCCTCTGTTCCTCCTCTGTTCACTCCTGGTCCCTTCGTGTCGCCTGTGAGTGTTCCCTCTGTGTCGCCCTTTTCTGTCTGCCTGTCTGCGTTCCCCGTCCTTTGTCAGGTCTTGTCTTTCTTCTGGTCCCTGTTCCTGTTCGGTGTTTCTGTCTTGTTCCCGGTTCCCCGTTGATGTCTTGCTTTTGTCTTTCAGGTCCTGTTCCCTCGTCTCGTCCGTCGCCCGGTGTGCGCGCCTTTGGGGGGGGGTTATGTCACGCCCAGCTCCGTCCGATCCTAATGTGTGCCACGCCCACCTCGTTACCTCCTGTTTCTGCCTGATTGTTCTCACCTGTTGCTCGTTACCCTTAGCTTGTCTTTTGTATTTAGTCCTCGTCTGAGTCAGTCTTCCCCAGATTTGTCATTGATGTTCGCTGTCGTGCTTCCCCGGTCCTGTTTCACGTTAATAAATCCCCGTTTTTACCCGACTTCCTGGCTCTTCTCCCCTGCTTCCCTGCACGCCTTCTTGCCGATCGTGACACCTGTGTCTCATCCATTAATTTCCTCATAATGGAACACCTTGGTGGCGTTATCCGTTATGCTTGAGAAACATAAGGTGAGGCGTGTGAGCGTGTGAACTGATTGAAATGCGTGTGTCACAGTCAGTATGTGAGACTTATGAGTCCTGATTTTACTTATACGACCTGTGACATGTTTTTAATTCATAGATAAATCTGGCTGGCAGATCGCTCTTTCATTTTCCACAGAATAAAAAATGTAACGTTATCCTGCTAATAAGCGACGACACATTTCACCGCCAGCACTGGCTGGAAACGCAGGCAAAATCTTATTGAGGTGCAAAAATAATCCCTAAATAATCTACTTTTTTCTGCACTTCCTTGTAACTTTCATGTTAGCGCCAGTGCTTGTGGTTAAGCAATCAGCAAGTTAATGACTAAGTACCTCCGAGGAACTGAATCGGACCAAGTAGCAATGATTTCACTCACACACGTATGCATAAGCATACACACTAATTCTAGCTCTCTCCGGGTGTTTCACGTGATATACGATGATGTGGTATATGGGGGGCATATTTGCAATCGCACTGGTGCGCCTAGTTATATAATTTAGTAGCCTGGAACCCTGCAGAGCCACACTTTTGATTTCTTAGGCATTTTTTATACTATGCGACAAAAAAAAAACAACACACACACAAGAACCAGTTCACAAGTTTGTCTCTGGGCATACATTTTTTTTCCTCTGGCCTATATGACATGTTCATGAAACATTATGTTAGACAGCCAATCACCAGCGACTTTAGACTTTAGTATGCTGCATGCTTGTTAGCTAACAGACGCTGAGATTTACTGCTTGAGTCTCCGAATTTGGCAGCAATAGAAAATTGGATTGGACCATTTTGGTCAGTACCTCAAACTACCGAAGTTTAATACCCAGCCCTAGGTGTAAATCTTCATCCATATACTGTAATGTTTATGTAAAGTAGTAATAAGATCCATCAAATACTTCTTGATTTATCACATATGTCTGTAGTCATTTTGCTGCCACTAAGTGGGATTAATAATAAGTAAGTGAACTTTATTGTTCATTTACACCATAAAACAGTACAACAACGGATGCATATCTGAACGAAATTGCGTATCTCCAGGCTCAATGTGCATAAAAAGACAAGTGCATGTAGACTACAGATATTACACCAATAGAATGTTTCTGCAAAATTTGAAAAAGATCTGTCAAGTAGTTTTGGAGTTATCATGCTAATGGGATCAAGTGTCCAAAACTGCCATTTTATTTGCTATTACTATGCAGTGCTGCTTCAATTTGGTGTGATCTATCTCATAATTTAATCAATTCCAGTTTGCCACACAGACAATGTGTTTTCAAAGTTTGAAAAAGATATGTGAAATACTTTTTCAGATTTTGCACTGATGAGAAAGTATTTCCTGTGGCAGAGGACCAGTGCCAAAACCATATCCGTTCCCTCACCCAGGAATACAATAATCTGGAATTATCCGCAATTGAGCTCCATAGACTTACTGCAGTATAACGTCATGAAACCCGAACAGCCCAGCCCAAAAAATGTACCATACCTGAGTGATGCAGGCTCCAGTGAAGGCTACAACCACAGCCACAACATTGACTGTCAGCTGGAACTGCAGGAACTTGGAAATGCAGTCATACACGTTCCTCCCCCACATGACTGCTTTCACAATGCTGGTGAAGTTATCGTCCGTCAAGATGATGTCTGAAGCCTCTTTTGCTACGTCAGTGCCAGCAATGCCCTGAAACAGGTTTTCTTGAGCTGTGCCTTCCCAACAAGTGACCTTTTTTATCTTACTCACAAAGTCCAGGCTAAAGGCTGGACATGTTGAGTTGAGCTTCAGAATGTGGAACAAAAGCTAAATACATAAAACTTTCCACTAACTCATTTATGGAAAACCTTCAAAGGTTTCAGCCAGAGACAAAAAACTTGTCAACAGAAAGTCAACAAATTGTAAACAGAAGCTTGTTGTTTTTCTAACATTATATGAAAAAGTGTAACCTACCATGGCGAACCCCACATCAGCCTTCTTCAAGGCAGGACCATCATTAGTTCCATCTCCTGTCACTGCAACCACCTGCCGCTGCTGCGTTACAGTGCTGTCAATTATTCCTGTCAGTAAAACAAACATCTGCTATGACATTTTATGGCTAAAACTTCCAAAGCTGCAGACCAAAGTACCCAACTGCAGATATTTTTGTGTATAATTACTGAATCTGTGCCAAAACTCAAACACTTCTTTTCCTTCCAAATACACTGTGGGGTGCACTGGAAAAAAATCTTAAATTAAAAGCTGAAGCAAGGTAACAGTACCTTTTACTAGAGTGTGTTTGTCAGTTGGGGACGATCTGGCTAGCACCCGAAGCTTTGGCCAGACCTTATCAATGAGCTCCTGTTCAATCTGCAATGACAGTTCACTTTATTTACTTGCCCTGGAAAAGAATGTGGGGTCTCATTTATGTATGAATGAAAAAAAAACCACCTCGCCCTTTTCATTGCGTATAAGCTTGTTGAACTCCTTTCCCTCCAGACACAGGAAGTTGTGCCCAGGCTGAATGATACCACACTTAGTGGCTATGGCTATGGCTGTGTTGATATTGTCCCCTGTCACCATTCGCACTGTGATTCCAGCACGCTGACATTTCCTGATGGCATCTGGGACCTACATTTGAACAAAGGACACTGTAAAAGAAACACTGTGACCAAAGTTACAGTGACACACTATGGATAACATTATAAAAGAACACAGTGATTAACCAAAGAAGCTTTACACTTTCCTTTCTGTAAGTGCACCAGCTCAATGCTTTACATAGTTAACAGTAACACTTATGTTACTCAAAAACTAGAAAATGTGCTGTCAGAACGACAACCCATTCCCCAGACACCCCCCAATCTATTCCCTAAACCTCCTACATCCCCCAACCACTACAGCTTGTAGAATTAATGGATGGATTAACTGAAAATATCAATAAATGTGTTTGCCCAAATGCTCCGTCCTAACTGTGACACTTGACTCTGATACAGCACCTATTCATTTATAATGCATTCCACATGCCAATTTGCACAATATTTCCCCACCAACTATATTTCTTTGTCTATGTGTTAATGTCCATGTCTTAAAATGTCTTTCATATTATATATGTTCTTTATATGTCAAAAAATATATTCTATTTATTACTTTCTCATTTGCACTATTACCAATGGGCCTCATTCACCAATATTTTCTTAAGAATTCTCTTAAATTTGTTCCTGCGAAATTTGTTAAGAACAACCTACGTCGGATTCATGACGTGTTCTTAAGTAGCAGAATTGTTCAGAATGGTGAATCCCACGTCTTCGTAATTGAAAGCACGTGCCAGTTTGTCCTAATTAGCATAGGGAAACGCCCTGCAATTTCCCATAAAAGGGCATGAGACTATAGGGCCGTGTGCAAGGAATGGTGAAGAGGCGCGCAGGTTGTGAGCTGCTTGGTACTAAGAGGAAAAAAAACTTCAGTAATGCTGAAGTAGAAGTATTAATACAGTAAAATCCCGTTATAGTGGACTCGCTTATAACGGAATATCATCTATAACGGACGAGGTCCGCTTATCCGACCGTGCGCCTTTAAGAACATGCAGAAAAAGTATCGGATATAACGGACTCGCATTTAATGGAATTTCGCTTATAATGGACAAACAATTTAGTCCCCAGGGCCGCTTTTAGCTGTAGTTTTGTTCAGCTATAACAGACATGAGGCTCTGCCGACAAGCGTGTGGTGTGCCGGTGATATCCAGCGCAGATACATAGTCGGGATTATTAATTATAATGCTGAGGTAAAGTTGGATTACTACATGTACAATCAGTGCTTGAAGTGGGCCGGAACGCAGCGGAACACAGTTCCGGAACTTCTGTATTTTCGTCTTTTGGGTTCCACCACTTTTCCGCCACTTTTTTCTGCATTCCGGTACTTACTGAAACTGATCCGATGCAGCGACAGTGGCCCAAGAATAGACAATATCACAAGACCGATAAAAGACTACATTACCCATGAGCCACGACAGTGCCCTATCATATGCATCCACTGAGTCCCAACCAATCACATCAGCTTTAGCCCTAGTCTATTGTTAGGCCTACAAGTATCACACTGGTCTGGTTCATGTTGTTTGAATGGTTTTTCAGTATTCCATTTGTGAATTAGAAAAAAGTAGCCTATGCCTTTAGGTTATTGCTTGGAAGAATGATTAAATTAAAATAGTTTTTGAACCAACACATCCTAAAGACTTGTCAAATGTCGGAAAATTAGAGTTCCTGCACTTATTTTTTCCCACTTCAAGCACTGTGTACAATATAATAATTTAATGGGATGTGGCATGAGTAAATGGTGTCCTGTAGTTGTGTTCTGGGCATACAACAACTCTGCATGTAACTGACTTTGGATATAACGGACTGTTTTGCCAGGTCCCTTGAAGTCCGCTATAACTGGATCTTACTGTACAGGAGGTAAATGCAAATAGACACAGGTTATTTAGTAGTCTAACCAGTGGATATAAAGCCCCAAAGAAAGCTGATACATGGAAAGATATCACCTTCTCTGTGAACGCTGTGTGCCAAATAAATCTAAATGATCTTCAAACATGCATTCCCTTCTCAGAGCACGACTGCCAAGCTCTTCAAGAAGTAACAGAAATGCCATTTTGATAGCAAGGCCAATGAAACAGACCTATTTATAATCCGCATGATCGCCATTACTACCATGAAAATAATTTTTACACTTTAAAATTATTTTTTATATTTTACTTTTATAAATTATTCAAATACTTTAATTTTATGAACCGTAGAATGAACAAAACTGCTATAACCAATTATTTTGAACAACCTATCATTACTCAAATGTGCGTACGTATGGTCTTCAGTGTGTGTAGATTCTGTTCTTAGCTAAGAACAAATTCAGATAAGAAAGCATTTGTGAATGTCAGAATCTTCGTAAAAAAGTGCGTACATGGGGTTTAAGAACAAATTTGTTCGTAAGAACGGTTGGTGAACGAGGCCCAATGTTTTCTGTGACAGAACACTAAGAATAACCGTAACAGACACACCAGCGGTATGACGAAGTAAAAATCATCTACTGCCAAACAGGCACACACATACAGATCCCATTGTGGTTTTTTCTGAGATCAAATGTTACTGCTACCTAGATTGTTTTTGATGTATAAACACAAGCTCCAGTTAGCTGGCAAAAGACTGGCACAGTATAGTGTACATAAAATCTGTAAAATATACCAGATCCCAAACTTGTGAACACTAAACACTTCAAACAAGCAAACAAAAAGCTGTTATATTAGCATTTTAACTCTGAAAATAAAACTATATATTTATTATAACACTAGAATGATGAGCATGCATGAACATGATATATTTCCTGGATAGCCCTGTCACCTACTGGCATAAGACAAAAAAGATTAAATTTACCTGAAATAAACTGTAGCCAAATAGAACTTGTTATCAATCAACAGAGGCTGTTAAATAAGTTGGTGGTGTTGCTGTGAGTTGTGCTAACAGACACAAGGTTATACCAGTTCTTGGTCACTTTCCTTGTTTTTATAAAATTTCTCACAAATGCACCACACTGTGAGATGAAAATGATTATGATTGGCTCAGAGAATGCAAACTCATAGCTCAGAGCTCATGCAAATCCAGTGGCAGTAAACTTTAAACTTTAGACTGTTTTACTAGATAGGAAAAATCATTAAAATTGCAAAGCTTGCTAGATTTTGTTTCCTCAGAACTGCTTTAGTATAACTTATTGTCTTAACACAGTCGACTATCGTGGTCCTTGGAGGGTTCATCCGGGGAATACAATTAAGCTCGGTATAAATAAGTTCCTTAGACTTGAACAGTGCTCTGATTGGACTGGTACTGAAACTTCAGTTGAACTGAACAGAACCCAAGTATATAGCAGATTTTCAAAAATGATTCAATATACTGTAATAATAATAATAAATAATAATGTTTTATTTATATAGCGCTTTTCATACACTCATGGACACTTTACAAAAACACATTTAACAAGGGAGGCAAGTTACATACAGGACGAATAATATTCATTGAATAGATGTGTTTTTAACAGGAGCTTAAAATGGATAACAGATTTTTCCTTATGGAGACTAAGAGGAAGAGCATTCCAAAGTTTAGGAGCTATTACGCTAAATGCTCTGCCACCCATAGTTGATAACCTAGCTGTGCTTAGGTAGAGTGAGTAAATCTTCATCGGACGATCTTAATGCACGTGCAAGAGTGTACGGAAAGAGTAGCTCAGATAGATAATGAGGGGCTAAACCATGAAGGGCTTTGAAGGTGATGAGGATAATTTTATATTTGATTCTTGAAGAGACTGGCAACCAATGTTGGAGGACAGGAGTAATGTGAGCAGATTTTGTAGTGTGTGTAAGTAGACGGGCAGCAGAGTTCTGAACATACTGCAATCTAGTGAAATGATTATTAGGGAGGCCATAAAATAATGTGTTACAATAATCCAAACGGGTAGTGATGAATTCAGAGATGGGCAACCAACAGCACCCCGACTGCATCTGCCCCCCTCCATTCATTTTTCTGGCTTGCTTGCTGTGCACAAATCTTAAATGCAAGTATAAATGAATGAAAACATTTCATTGAAATGATTACTTTCCCAACATGGTGCCTGACCATTAGGAAGAGCTGGAAACAGTTATTTGATCTAGCTTTGTGTTTGTGTTTTGTGGCTAAGGAGGAAATGGTCAAAAATCACATCAGAGTAAGAAATGACAAGTTACATATATGTAACAAGGTAAGGTGATAGTTGATCCATACAAAAAAATAAATGCTGTATTTCATTGTAACATTTTGGTTCATAAGAATGGCCCATATTTTAATATTTGTTTAATGATTTAACTTGACTGTGATGTAAAGATTATTAATTTCCAACAAAAATACAGTACAATCTAAATTTCAATGCTTTTCATTTTGAAGATCTAAAAATCGAAAACCTAAGCCTGACAATGACTGAAAATGCACATGAAAGACCTTAATATTTTAAAACATAAGCATTCAGTAAAATAAAACATACTTTTTACAATGAAATAAACCCAGTAACAATCAGCTTCCACCTGAAACACTAACTGAATGTTTTCACGTCAGGACCTAAACTCTTATGTTGTTTACAATCAGGGGGTGTTCCTCCTACATGGATTAACGAGTTATCTGGATTTAATTCTTGACTACTTGACTAGATCCCGGATTTCTCTGTCCTTCGGAAGTCTAACTGGATTGGTTGTCACAGCAACCAATCCGTAAACTCAAACCTGCTCTGAGCTTTAGATCACAGATATAAACAGACGTGCCCTTTGAAGAAACCCGTCCAAATGCACCACACTGTCTGTGAGATGAAAATGATTATGATTGGCTCAGAGAACGCAAGTTCATGGCTCTAATTCTAGGGGAATTAGATGAATGACGCACAGTTAAAGTCTTATTATTCCGATAAATGTATTAGTGAAATTTCAAGAAGAAAATTTCTTCATATGTATGGCAGAAAAGTAAATGCAAATACAAAAGTAAAATATAAATATAAAAATGAAACATCACTATGCAAGGCTCTCATGTTGCATAAAAAGTTTGGAGTGAGATTACATTAGGGGCAAAACGCGT